TGACACGCACGGTAAAGTGCCAACACTCTCAGAATAGCCTTTGACTCACCTAAAGATTAAAAAAGAAAAACTAAGAACAACTAGTGAAATTTAAATTGAAGGGCCTCTACTGGAACCCCGTGAGACTCAGAGTCACATCACAGTTGTCAAGTAGTCAAGAACAGGCAGGGGCAGGGAAAGCCCGGGATCATGAATAATCACCATAAAGGTTGAACATTTAATTACAGCCCTGCTGTATTTCATAATGCATTTCCTGCCACTCAACTCCATGAAAATGTAGCCGGTTTCTAAGGGAGCTTTCGATTTGCGCTTTGCCACGGTCAGTCACCGTCATGGCTCAGACCTTTCTGATGTCACCATACCAAGTTCTTTTAGCAGAAACACGGCACTCCTGTGTTGTATGGCTGAAGCACGAGCCGTGATCCTACATAACTGCTGTTGTCACGCTCACGTCTCAGGTATGGGATGGTGACAAATCATCATTGTAACGACGAATCCTTCTCTTGTCTAAAGCTATATCTCCCGACTGGGTCAATATCATTTGACACCAGAATTTTTTTAAACTGTTGTGATGCTTCTCTAAGGAGCTGAAAAAAAATCTCTTGATGGCCTATCCCTCATGGTTCACAGGATGATGCCCTAGATCCCCTCTGGAGACGTAGGACTGAATGCCAGTGGACTGAAAGCAATTACATTTGGCACCCTCCCCTTTACAGACACTATCCCAGAAGAGCGTTGCAAAATGCGGTGGAAAACTGTATTTTCCTTCGCTCAATCCTCCTTAGCTCTTTTGATCTTATTCTGGCAACTAATTTGAACACCTTGCACTGTTTGCCGATAATGAGCCCAGCACTGGGTCAGCGCCGCAGGAAACGCCATGCGGATGCCTGCCCTCCTGATGTTTGATGATGCAGCGGGTGCTACCGTCACCAGGGCACAGGGCTGGGAAAGGCTGCTGGGATCAGATGCTCCGTCATTAACCAAGCTGTAGAACACAGCATGCGTGAACAAGGGCAACATGACTCTTGTGCTACACTTACATGGTTCTTCTTCTCTGCAGACACAGATGAAGCGCGAGGTAATTTGATTCACCTAAACTTAAGGCAGCATCTTTTTATGCAGACTGTGGACTCGCTTCTGGTCCAGTGATGATCGACTTCTCTTTGGAGTTACACCATACTTGAGTACAACGGTGCTAAACCTGGAAGGGGCCAGAAGCGGTATTAATGATACATTATTGATCCCCATGGGAAAACTCTCTTTATACCCCCCCTAAGCTGGCCATGAAGGGCAGTCGCCCACAGCAGTGCCTATGGAGCTGTGGCATAATGGTCTTGCTCAAGGAGGCAGAGATGTGCCAAGGCTGGGGCTTGAACTAGCAACCTTCTGATCCCAGGCAGAGAGGCTTAGCCCACTGAGACACACATTGCCCTTAGCAAGAGTAACGTGAATTGGTACACACAGATGCAAAAACGCCCCTTATTTCCTAGACTACTGGCCCCTGCAGTGCTGGGTTGCCTCCAACCAGAACCTCCAGAATCATCACAGATGCTGCGCCTCTAGCCATGAAAACAAACATGTCACTCACCCTCCCATTTCCTAGGCTCTGGGCCCAGATGGGGAGCCTGAAGGTACTAGGCACCCATTTGAGCTGACTGGATGGACCAAGACAGCAGCAAGATCAACTCCCAGGGTGCACGTGTCAGTAGATGATGGCAATGGGCCAAACACAGAGTGGGACTAACGTAGCATGAGTCCAACAACGGTCATCAGTTACAACCAATTGATCGGTCAATCAATCAGAGCATCAGGGAAAGAGTGGAGGTTCACGCCTGAGTGTGTTCGTTAATGGCAAATGTGACACTTTTACATTGACAGACTATCTCAGTAACTGATGCAGATGGAGCAGGAACCAGGATCCGTAATGGCTTGAACCGGTTGCCTCTGAAAATAAGTCAAATTTAAGAGGTTTTTATAAAACCTCTTTGAGGATGCTTTTGTGAAGCCTTTCCATTGGAGTTTTCAACTCAAAATATTTGTAATCATGTGACATTTAGATAATGTTTCACAGGAAGATCAGTGAAGTAGATGAGTAAAATTTATGAGTTAATCAGTTTTCCTACTGATTCTCATCTGTCAAGTAAGAAGTAAATTGAAAATGGAAGAAGTAGTCCATGTATTCTTTACAGAAGTAATAAATTACAGTGAAATTAAATTAATTGAAGGGGCAGAGAAAAGGAAGGATACAGAACTAAGGGTTTAAAACCAATTACAGCCGAAAATTTGGAATTCAAACTGATTCTCTTTGATGGCGTACAATTACATGATTACACTATAACTTAATTTCTGTTGGACAAAATGGCTGAATGACTTTTAAAATGGTCTTGTTTTCACTTATTTCTTGTCCAGGGTCCAGTGACCCTTCAGAAATAATTATTGTTTGTCATTGCAACGCATTATTATGACCGAACGTAATGGCTGACATGTGGCTTCCAGACCCGTGATGCTAGGGAATGCTCTATGTTGCCAATCGGTTCAACTGGCAAACAATACCAGTAACCAGGACACAGTAATCTCACTGATTGTATTCTCATTATTCCCAATTATAAGAATAATCATACATACCTGCAGGGTCACACAGCCAATCTCAGAAGCTACAGGGACTGAGAGGGGAAACCTAACGATGACACGGGGGAGAACGTGCAAACTCCACATATGCAGAGCCAGGACAGAAACTCAAACTCCGGTCTCCAGATGTGGGAGAGAACCATGCTGCAGCATTACCAGGCCGCCCAGAACGTTAATATAAGTTTTATAAATTGGATGTTTTTATGCTTGGTGCAGTGTGTACATAGAACCTAAGGTGGAGCAGGGACCTAGGAGAAAACAATACCAAAAGGGATCCTTCTGTATCTGGCGGAAATGATTTGGTTGAGATTACATCAGACGCCCACAAAGAACGGAAAAGGACGATATACAAACAGCCGCATGCAAAGGCCAGGGCGTCGATGGGGGGCGACTGGCATCCACACAGAGAGCCGACATGTTTAGAATTTGAAATTGGTCACTCTGCCCCAAGATTAGTCACAGGCGTGGGTTTGAGACCACTGCTGATGTCCAGGATCAAGTCTGCGTCCGCTGGAGAACCTGCTCCCACCCCTCCCTCTGCAGGCCTCCTGCTGCAGCTGTATCTTCTCTAGCAACGGCTAGATACATCCATCCTTTTACGTATATGGCTGGGACTGCAGCTCCTCTGGCATCGGCATGGCATGGAGAAGTGGGTGGGGGGGGGGGGGGGGCTACTCTCTCGCATGCACAGATATCAGGTCCTGCCCTCTTGGTTTTGCCTGACAGCTGAACTCCATGGCTATAGAAATAGGTGTTGTCTTCAGGGGGGGGCGGGGTTCAGGAAGACCTTGTTACAACTCATTATGTAATAACGCCACATTCTGTAATAACGCCACATTATGTAATAACTTGACAAAGTGTCAATGAAGACATCTATCTTGGTTGTTTACTACATAATGTAAAGTATTACATTTTCATCATTAATAAGTGCAAGCCCTGCATTTTGTAATAACCAAAGCAATTTCTAATAATTTATTACCAAATGCAGGGAAATTATAATATATTGCTTCCAAGCTATTACAGAATGTGGCAGATTGTTACAAAATGCGGATGCTATTAGATAATGAAGTGAAACTTTGTTACATTTTGTCGAGTTATTACATAATGGGGCATTATTACATAATGCATTGTAACAAGCTTGTTATGGGACAACGATAAACAAATAGGTTGTCTTAATGCATACGGAGGTCCAGCAATTTGAGCACACAATCTGGGGCCATTCGTATGAGCTCTGTGCAAAACCAAAGGTGCAAATAGACTATTCAATTGAGGTCTTGACTGACTGAGGTCAGATCCTACCATCTTAATGTAATGTGTTAGTTGGAACGTTTAATTAAAAATCAGCGTGATTTGAATGGGCCCCAGTGTAATTACTTTGCTAGGCACATGACAGATAGGATGTACTAATCTCTTTACCTATTTTAAAGGACAAACCTCACCACCAGGATTGACCTGGAGAAATAATAAACAAGTGGTTAAAAGAAAAACCCAATTATTGTTCTAATTTGTATTGATTACATTTCTTTGGGGTTGAGAATTTGTCAGCACTGGCCTGTTGCGCTAGCCAGGGAGCTGGGGGTTAAGGGTCTTGCTCAACAACTGACAGATATGCAGTGGCTGGGTTTGAACTGGCATTCTTCTGATTGCAGGTATAGAAATCTAGCCCACTAAGCCACATGCTACCTGCTCTGTTTTATGTGATGCTTTGCTTTTATGTATATCCCTCATCCAAGCCTGCCCCCCCCCACCAACAGACACAGGTGAGATGGTCTATGAAGTTCTATGGTGCTCCCATGTGGGGGGTGATAGCACAGAACCACAAGCTCAGTTTCCATTGGTGAATAGCCCTCCGATTTTTCAGCATTTGATGGTTTGCAAACATCACTTTATGATTGTCTTCTTTTTGACGATTGTGACTTTTTCCTACAGGTGGAATAAGGGCTCTGTCTACTGATAGCATTTGACATCTAATTGGGCAATGAAATCATGTTTTATGAAATTTATGAAATTTATATTCATGATGGTCATTTGTATGGAATGATTTATATCACTAATTTTAACAATTTAATGTTGATAGCTAGTTAGCTAGCTAACTAACATCATTGTCAATTGTGACTACAAAGCAAGATTAGTTAGTATCTTGTGGACCCTGACATATTTTCCTTGCTGACAACAATGGACGTACATCCATTTAAAACATTAACCTGTTCACTGACATCTGCGTAAAGATAGGTTTCTCTTTATGGCGCTGAGTGTCTCATTATGTCGCTTTATGTTTATTTTGTAGTTTCTGAGAAAATGCGTTTTTTCATACTCCAGAAATAATGGATTTTGATGATATATGTTTTCCATCGGGCAGCGACGCTGTGCCACCCTGAATCCAGCTACTCGGGGAATGTGGAACGTCATAGGACAGAAGGCACCAGGCCTAACAATGGGCTTCCAATGACGGCAAGCCACCCAAAGGCTGTAAAACGAAGGTGTAAAGAGCTTCCGCCATCACCTCTGCCATATTCCCCCGTTCACATTTAACACTAACACTGTCACGAGAAACAGAGACAAGGCGAAAACTGGTTTTGGCAGCTGGTAGCAATCGGCATCTGCCCGTTAGCTGCTGCTCTCTGTGCTTACCGTCCTTTTTTAATTGGCTGCGTTATGAGCAAACACTGTTGTTTTTACCGCAGGTGTTTCTCTTTCCTTGGCCTGAAATGCTGATTGCATGGCGGTTCCAGCACACACCGTCCCTCACCGAGGCAAACATCTCGCTCTGGAAATGCTGCCAGGTTAGGGACAGCCTTGTTGTTTTAACGGCACCATCAGAGCAGTAAAGCATTCTGTGGTCTTGCTTCTGAAATGCGAGAGACATTTATGACACGCTAACGAGTACTAGATTATAAAACAGCACCTGCAGTCCTTCCTTTTGTAAATTGCGGACACAGGATGTGTGCTTCTCTGAACTTTGATACAGAAGCACTAAAAAACTATAAAAGTAATTACTCTACACTTTTGTAAACAGTGGAGATATATAATGGCAGAACAAATAATGACACAATCAGAACTACATGCCAAGATTTACTTGATAACATCACCCAAATCATTATTTTTGATCTTTATTAAAGTACTTGTATGCTTTAACACTGAGAGGCTGCTTAGAAATACAATTCAAAGGAGTTATTGTCAGTAACAGACACTGATATATGAATCGATTGCGAATTCTTTTAAAAGTAGAAGTTCTCTTTTACAAGAGCATTTAAGACTGCTGAAGCCTTTACACCCACAGTGGGTAGTGGAGATGCTTTTTGTATTAGAAATAATTGTGATTTTAGACAAGTGTATCTGTTACTGACCAAATGGCAGACACACAGTATATACAAAGACACATATTTGTGTTTTGACTCCAAATGGACAACTCACCATTTTACATTATTTGAGCTGCTTTATATTGCAAAAAAGCACAGCGAAGTTACCAGTAAGTCATTACTAACGTTTCAGTTTCCTGTAAACTGTTAGTATCCTTCAAAAGTAACAGAACAAACCATTTAAAACTCAATATAGTCATTAAGGATATCAGTTTGCTTGAAACCCAAGAGATGCTTCCCAAACACAATAATACTGGGGAAACGGACTGCCAATATCATCGCAGTAAACTCAAAGCAGCGGAAATGGGCGAATAACAAACAACTTTTAACAATCATTAATGTAATGAATGCCTGCAATTTGAGTAATCAAATACACTGTAGGCAATAGGCAGTAATTGGATTATGGTGAAGGGATGTTTGTAATGGGAGCCATACATTTTGAAGGCTTGTATAACATTTTAGGGATTGACCTTATATATCTTGAAAGGGCAAAGAGCTTATAACCAGACAATACAGAGCATGCAGTGAGGTCTGACTGACAGTTTCACACAGAATTCAAGTGTACCTGCCTTGTCTTCGCCCAGGAAGAAATGTTTTTCTTGTGTAAAACCCAATACAGTGACAGACGCATGCCACTGCATTGATTAACATTAAAGTATTGAATAGATTCACTGCTGAAAGCAAGCGTATGTAAGTTAAAATTTCCAAGTAGCTCAGCAATCAAACTCAAATGCTAGAAATAAAAAACAAATGAAAAACCCAGACAACCTTCTGAAACAACCAGCTCTGCACATCTGTCACTCAGACGCATCAGGTTACTCTGCTACTCTGTTTTGCGCAGATTTCGTCGCATGACGTTCTCGCTGGTTTTCCAGGGGTATAATCTGTCCCGGTGTTTCCCAGCCCAGTTTCCCTGCTGGTGGGTAGATCCTGGCAAGGGCAAGGCGGGAAACTGCTGAGGGCAACGTCGTTCAAGGGGCGCAATGGGGCACCTGCACAAATATGTGAAATACTGTACACACACAAATGTGATTGGCTCAGATTTTGTCCACGGCCCCAAAAATGCCAGAACTGCCAGAACCTCTGGCAGCGCCCCCAACCCCAAAACCGACAATATTTCTTTGCGACAGTCACTTCCATGTCTCCTGCTTCTCACATGTGGCCCTCATACCTAACTGGGGGGGGGGGGGGCGATTAATCATAGGACAGCGCTGATTTTTAAAAGATCAAAGAATGGATGCTTATTGTGTCTATTTAAAGCCCTTTTGAGCGTGGGTGTCAAACTACCAGCCTGCGAGTCAAATTCAGTCTGCGAGACGGTTCTGTCTGCCCTGCATCTTGTTTTCCAAATCATTATTAAATCTGGCACATCGATCAATCAGTTATTTTTCAGTGAAAATTGTAACTTCATTACTCTACCCCCACCCCCACCCCCAGTTGACACATAGTACCATTGGCTTTTAGTAGATTATAGGAATATTGTTTTTTTCTCTCTCAGCCTCCAGTGGCCTGCTTGAGCTGAAGACCTCCTAGTTAGTGGCCCTGGATCATGTGGCTTTGCGACCTCTGCTTCTGTCTGTGTTCTCATGCTGGTAGGTGGGCACCAAGGGGATGAGCAGGGCGAAGCAGCGATTTCCACTTTGTACGCTGACACATTTAACTTTTGCTGGATGGTGATGTGCAGTGGGTGCCAAACTGGGAGAGGTGCTTCTACTCTGCAAATGACAAAAAAGTTACGAGCACTGTGTTCTGGAGCAGAATCAATGTGTTAATGTGTTCAAAGAGTGGGGTCTCTCTCTAAATTTTATTGTTCTCAGAATTAGAAAACATTTTTATTTTCAAACCAAAAAACAGGAAATGCCTGCTTTGTTTTCCTTCATATGATTAATGAGTCCAGCGCCATGTCCACTGAATTTGACTTATTTACTTACTTCTTAAACTATTAATGAAGTAACAGTAAAAAGCCAGGTGCTCTGGGGGTAGGGGTGTGTGTGTGTGGGGGGGTGTGTGTCTGGGGGGGGTTTGGGCTTAGTGTGGATGTTGACCCTTTGCTCTCGATTCTGCTAAGTTTAAAATAGCATAGCTGAGGGCTATGTACACCGTCGGGGGACCACATTCTGTGAGAGCAGAACATACAAACGTACTTTACTGATAAGCACATAATTGAACCTGGCTGGTGGATGGAAGAGATAAAAAAAACACATAAATAGATTCACCAATAGCATCTGCTACCAACAAAATGGTTGGGGGAGCATAAAATTACTAAGAAATCCATTTTGTATTCCCCGTTGAACTAACCTAGGAAAATCTTCCTTCCTTCCCATATTTTTTTCCTGTTGCAAAAATAGCAATGTCTCAGCATGAGGGATTTCAGTTATACAGTATATATTTTTTTAAAAATCTGGCACTTTACGCATAAACCACAGGGCCATAGGGATGAGGAAGTGTGACTGTCACCTTAAGAAAACAGACTGACCGGGTGTGCAGAGCACCCCGTGGTTTATACCACAAAAAATAAATGTTTACCCCCGAGGGATGGGAAGGCCATTCCTCGGAGGATGTATACGGAAATAAACAGAGGCTTAGCGGATGCAGTCCGGGGACGGTGATGAGCGACGCATTTACATTGCTCAGTGCTTGGTTTTGGCAGGCGCTTTGCAACTTACAGGATGGTGCAAATGATGCGTGCATTAAACACGCGTGAAGGACAGGAGATGTGACTAGTGAGTGGAGCCCACCCTGTTGCTGGGCTGTTACCTGCATGAGATTCTGAGACATTGCTATTGTGCATGCAGGATGCAGTTTGTTTATGGGATTTAGGAAGAGTTTTCACATCTAAAAGCTTCATGACACAGACAGAATCTGATTTGACATTCTGATACAGACTGGTTTCTTAAATATGAGGAGATTTGATTGCTGCCGGAGGAGCGGTAAAAGCAGGAGTCACGCATGTTCTTCCATGAGACTACACAAAAGAGTCACTTGTACTCTTCTGGGATGTGGGGAAAACCTGGAGTACCTCTGGACATCAGTGACCCCCTGATTCCATCAAACGTGACTCTGGCACTTGTGTGGAGTGCGGCAACTGGGTAGTGGGGGGTCTTTTTTTTATCAGAATTAGAAAAACTTAATAGATCCTGGAGGAACATTGCTTCTGTTACAACTGCACAGACAGAGACAAGTAGACAGGATGAACACTACATAACAAGATGAAGAAGGTAATATATCACAATCAAAAATCAGAATAATATAATATATATATATACATATACAGTATTTTCTTTAAACTACTTTGTAAAACTATGTAACTAGTTTACTATGTGACTAGTTCACTGTGAATTTCAATTAGCTAAATGCTGTACAGTTGAAGTATTTGACAAGGTGAATTTTATACTCAAAGCAGTCACTCACAGAGCCGGCAATTCAAAGCCATTGTATCCTAAATAGGGTTTGGCTGTCTGGAATGTCCCTCAGAACCAATCAGATGCCTGGAACTCCTGGTGGCCCTTATACCATGAAGTTCTCACCAATGTTGTAAGAGAAGCAGTCCAGGACTCGGGGGCTCAAATTTCTCAACCACGACCAATCAGTTAAAGTATGATAGTAATGTGTTAAATAACAGTGGCCTAATCTGGTCCTACTATTCCAGAGTTTTCCCTGGGAAAGTCCACGTTCATCTCCAAAAACAACCACGTTCATCTCCAAAAACAGCCACAAATAATAGCCGTTTGCCAAGTTGAGGCGCCAGGAAGCATTTGAAAGCCAAATAAGCACAATAATTATTTTGTATTTGTATTTCTAATCTTAACTCTTCCAGTCATTCCTGTGACGAAACCTGAGTAACATTTGCTCGCTCACGTGATCAGTCTCAGTTGCAGGGCTGCTAGTTGCTCTGTGAGCCTTTCAAGCCCTGTCACATGACCTCCCATGGCAATGACCTCATCGCTGTGGCCTAATTCCTGGTCATAATGTGTAATTAGCTGACCAGGCCTCACCACTCGCCTCCCTCCAAACACAGCATTCATCAAGCTCCTTTTTCGAAACACAAATTTCCACGCGATTTCGGTCAGTGTTGACCGTGCTTGGCTGACTTTGCTTAACATACCTCCCAGCCATGAGGATGAGGCTTATCACTGCACCTGTACTTCAAAAGCAATTTTCAAATCCAGTGAAAATAATGATGGGACAAGTTTTCATTTTTAACAAAATCATTTGCCTGGCAGTGAGCCATGCCTAATGCAATCAATTCCCCTGTTTCGGCGCCATTATATTCGATATGCTTTACATATTATACATTTTCTGCCATCAGACCAGCACAATTGACAGTGAGATCTGCATTGTTTGCTTCTCAGGTCCCACAGTTAACAAATTAACTGAAACACAAATGAACTAATGAGGCCTGTCATCTGATCAAGACCTTGTTTTTCTTTAACAAGGGACCAGGGATGTTTCCACAGAAACGTGCCGGCCCACTTTGTGCATGAGCATCGTGATGCTGTGGTGCGCAAGGGTCCGCCGACCCCCAGATGATAACAATCAGCAGCACGCCATGGCACAGCAAGTACCAACATCCCCACGAGTGGCGGGGGGCTGCCTGTGAAGAATGCCAGTGGGGACGCAGCTGGTGGACACTAATCACTCCAGCGAGGGGGTGGGATCACATTCCCCGACTCAGCTGATAACCATCGCCGTGGGTAGGGAAAGGCAGAGGGTGACCAATGAAGAACCAGACTGTGCTCCTCTCTCAGTTCCTGGGCATAGACTGTCGCCTCCCTCTGTAACACCCATGACCAAGAAGCAGGCCGGGATTAACCATACGGGCATTTTGGCAGGTGCACAGGGGCAACACGTCCTCAGGGGGGCGCCAAGCAGAGCATTTCTGAAGTCCGCGAGCCACCAATGAGCTCCCTTTGTATAATAAATGAGTGTGCTGATAGTTACTGTTAGTGTTAGCTAGCAATGAGTGTGCTGATAGTTACTGTTAGTGTTAGCTAGCAATGAGTGTGCTGATAGTTACTGTTAGTGTAAGCTAGCAATGAGTGTGCTGATAGTTACTGTTAGCTAGCTAGCACGAATCGAGATGGACAGACGTCAGCGACTTAGAGGGTGTGCAAAAAGAAAATGTAAAAAAGGGCGTGGAGGGGGGGGGGTTGGGGCTTATAGGGCCCAGGGGCTCCTAATGCGGCCCTGTGTAGGACCTGGGGCCAGTTTCTCAAGGAAGGAAGTAATCTGTCTTGACCACTGTAGCTCCCCCCACTATTTTGTTAAAAAATAAGACCCTATAGAGGTTTTCCCCGCGCCTCCTTTTCTGATACTTCCTTCCCCATCACTGTACAAAATGTTCTTTTTCTCAAATCAAACGCATTCAATAACCTGCAGCAATTTACGTTCCTGTGACTCGATTTTGGTTACGTTGAGCACTCCATGCAGACCCATGGAGCTGGGTTTCTTAGAACCTGGAACAAATTTCCCTACAGCAAAGTATATAATCTCCTTTTTCTGTAACTATCAAAAAAAAAAAACACTGACAAACGGTGTGCTCTTTCATTCAAACAGAGTATAAATTGGAGAGCACCAATTTTTTCAACCAGTAAAAAGCCACAGCCTGTACGGTCCGGCAAGCCTGCTGCACACATCTCGGCAAACAGAAGCTGGTCTGCTTGTCCAGCCCACTGGATTTCATTTTTGCTCCTTGGCTAAAGGGCACCTTTATTTATTATTTTGTGCTTTATTCATGTGCCTGGTTGCTGTCCTATCAAATCATGTTTCCCCTGAAAAGTATCGTGGTTCCTCCATTTCAGACCCTATTCCTTTTTTTCATTACATCATGTGGCCCCCTCCCATCAGTGATCGCTCCCGAAATGCACATGACACTTAGCAGATCACCGACACCATGCGGCCTCCCTGCTATAAGGCTCACCTGGGCTTTCATTCTCTCGAACTCCATCACCGTGCAAAGCCTGTGGGTGAGAGAAATGCTTTGCTGCACAAGACGATCTTCTTACATGCCCACAATTGCATTTTCCTGACCCATTAGCAACGCATTCTTCTAACTTAATTCTTCGTGGACTTATTCGCCAATTCATTTACTATTCAGGAAAATCAATAAGCATAAAAGCACTGAGGCAGCTCAGAATTAGATCTGCTTGTCCATTTTTTGCTCCTGATGTGGCAGGAAGGCTAGAGAATAATTATTTTGTGTCTTTCTCTTTGTTTGAAATTTTTTTTATATAAAAATCCAACAGATGTACAGGATCAGTCAGATACAATACAACCAGATATCTTGGTTCCGCCTCCTCTAGTTGCTTGGACCCGCCTCCTCTACAATGTGATTGGTTATCTCTCTGAATTTTTCATTCTGCCCTCAGAACATTGTTGTGGAAGTATGAGTGTTTCCTTCAGGTGCAACTCTGGGCGTCTTTGAAGCTACATGTAGATGTACTGGTGCATTTTCCATCGCCGCATGTGAACTTTCCGGAAGAGCCCTGTCCAGTCCAGGATTGTAATATGGAAACCATTGGGTTTAGCCTTGTTGACTCTTGGTGTTGGAAGTATTTAACGGAGAATAAACTGATCAATGTCATGTCAAAATA